ATTCAAATTGAAAAACTGCCCAGCAGGTTCGGTTTTAACTGCCCAACAGTTACAAATCTGTTACTTCCGAACAGATTCAAAACCTGGCAGCATATTTGTTTGTTTTCAAAATAGCACCTGTTAGATTCAAACCACACCTGTTCATTTGAGTTTTATACCTGTTCGGACAGCACTTGTGCTGCCTATAAATACCAACATTCCAGCAGTGTTTTTGGATTCGAAAATCAGTCTGCAATTTTTATATTGCTGTCCAGAATTTTCTCCTTTGCATTTTAATCTTCATTCTAGTTTTAGAGATAAAATAAAGAGAGTATAAGAACACAAGGTTCTAGTTCGCCGTACAAATTTGTGTGGAGTGCGACTACAAGTTTGTGAAGATCATTGTATCTTGGGAGATAGATGCCACTCAACCGTAAGCACCGTAGCGGGGCGAATCTGTCTTAAGGACACAGTGTCACACACTCGACTTGGTCTTTTATTTTTCGTTTGGTTCATCAAAATAAAATCTGTAAGTTTTTATTTTATTTTGTTTGAATTAGTTTTAATTTATTGTATTTATACAGAAGATTGTTCCAACAAGCGATGCATTGGTATGGTATTAATCAAGGGGGAGTTAGAATTGCCTGTGGCCAGTGTTAGTGGTTGAGTAAGAACGACATTCTGCGGGGAGTTGCCTAGAATTAATTAAAACTGAAATTTAATTATAAGTTCTGCTTAATTAGTGCTTTTCGCTGTATGTTATGATCGTGGCATTATGTTACTTGTGTATTTGGAATGGGAAAAGGGTCGGGGTGTGTGTGTTTACTGGACATTCTATGCTCATGGCGTTTTATGCCAGGTGAAGGCGAATTTTACACTGAGAGAAGAATCCTAAAAGCTTTGCAAAACTATGGCTGTCTTAGAGATTAGATTTTATATTTCCTGTATTTGAGATAATCTTTTTGTGTCAAGGAACTGATCTGTATTTCAAGGCTTGAAGAATTTTATCTGTAACTATTATTAATATTTTCTTTTAGTATAATTATTTGTATTTTGTGCATAAAAATGATATGTATCCGCTAGTTAAACTCCGATGTATCATTTTATTATATTATCAAAATTTGGAACGTCACGTGAAAGGGTTAAAATAATATTTTACAAATTTAAAATTTCTAACATTATGATGTTTTTGGTTAAAGATATAAAAAAATTTGTTATGTCATAAAACGTTGAGTATAAAAAAAAGATAAATTTTTTTAAAGATTTATTTATTTACGGAACAAAAAAAATTTATTTTGTTATATTTAAAAGATCGTCTAAATGGTAGTAATAATACCATTTGTGTAATGAGTTTTGAAAAAACTTTTAAATTTTTTTGGATCAAAATCATGATCTCAAAATAAAACCAAATGGTACCAAAATATTTTCAATATCAAAACAAATGATTACAATTGTTAAGAAATGTAGTAAAATGATTTAATAAAAATATTCCTGCTTTGTGTTGGGTTTATTTTTTTGGTTAAATATTTCAAATTGTTGTTATTTTATACCACTTTGAAAATATTTTTTTGTTTTTGTAATATGCATTTGTTTCCAGAACAAACAAAAAACAAAATTATTATTATTATTATTTTTTACAAAAAGAGTTGCGCAAATAGTTGGGTTATGAGTTTTCAAAATGTGTTGTTATAAGAGTTTTTGAATTTTACAACTTTAGTTTGGTTATGAGTTTTGAAAAGAATTTTGAAATGTTTTGATCGAAATCGTTATCCCAAATGCGAAAAAAATGTTTTCAATATCAAAAAATATGATTTGTACAAATGCAAAAATTTGTATAAATTATTTAAAAATTTTGTTAATATTTAATTAATTTATTTTAAATATATATTTTTAATTATTTCGTTCTTTACAAAACAACAAATAAAGAATGATTTTTATTTATTTTTAACAAAAAGAGAGTTTTGCAAAAGAGTTTAGTTATGAATTCTAAAAATAATTCATAAAAGATTTTTTGAATTTTAAAACTTTAGTTTAATTATGAATTTTAAAAAGAAATGTGAAGTTTTTTGACCAGGAATCGTGATGCCAAAAAACAAGACGGTACAAAAAAAATTCAACATCAAAAGCAGGAAAAAAAAAAATGTACTCCATTGGTAGAGATTCTTGAGTGCAAATGGACAAAGGGTTATGTTTATCGCGCCTTCACAATTTGTTGCGTGTTATGACCGTAAGATGTGCAATAGAGTGAGGATCCTCTCCTTGTAGCTTCCGTATTTACGCCTGTTCTTGCAGGTTTTTGGGTCTATTTTTAGGCTCAATTTTGATAATCCGAATCGTTCATATTTTATGATTTATTCAGTATATCATACCTGTAAAAAATCAAGTTGATCGGATATCATAAAGCATATGTTCGGAAAACTGTTTATTAAATTCTTTAAAAAATAGTGTTTAGTTCAATTTTTCAAACACATACTTTCTGATATCCGATCAACTTGATTTTTTACTGGTATGATATACTAAATAAATCATAAAATATAAACGGTTCGGATTATCAAAATTGGGCCTAAAAGTAGACCCGAAGACCTGCAAGGACGGACGCAAGCACAAACTTGCAAGGAGAGGCTCTTGACTCTGTGCAATATGGCAACAGGTGACAGCTACTTAACCGTTGCCAGACGAACCCAAAAAAAAAAAAAAAAATTAAAGTCTTATTATAGCATCCGCATCAAGTTAGATAAATTTTAGTCAAATTTTGATTAAAAAAGTTACTTTTTTATTTTAGCTAGCTATGTTTTTGAATGTCTTCTGCATCAAACTCTATATTTAAAAAATATATATTTTATTTAAATAACTTTTATTTGTTTTTTTGTTCCTATTATCGATTATCATATTTTTTAAATCATCAATTTTGGGACAATCATATTTTATAATGGTAATATTTTAACAGTCATATTTTTTATACAGTCACTTTTCCTAGATTAAGAAATCGCATTTTCATAACTGTTTTGTTAACTTTAATTTCAAGAATTAATTTATAAGATGTACAAAAACTAAAATAATTTAAGTTTATATGTGGATAAAAATTATAAGTAAAAACAAAAAGAATAATCCTATATTTATCGTCTATTTTGATTATTTATATTTTACTATTTGATGTGACATACTTTATTAATATAATAAATCTCACGTACATATAATTGGTATCTAAGAATTATGGGGTGTATCACATGATATGGTATAATAAATAATAATTATAGTATTTAAAAAAAATTGGCGATTGCGCCTTTGTGTTTGATGTGGTTGGTGAGCAAAATCGACGTATTTTTCAGGATAGTGCTCAATCCATTGCACGGTTAGAGGCTTGGTTTTTGGGTGTTTTGTACAACCGGGTGTCAAGAAAGGCGAATCCAGATTTATTTGCTCTCTTAGATTTTGTTGATAATGTAGTTGGTTAGGCTCCCGTTTTGCGGGCCTTGGTTTTGTATTCTTTTGGCATCTTCTTGATGTTGTGGTAATAAAATTTCATTTATCAACAAAAAAAAAAAAAAAAAAAAAAAAAATTAAAGTCTTATTATAGCATCCGCATCAAGTTAGATAAATTTTAGTCAAATTTTGGTTAAAAAAGTTACTTTTTTATTTTAGCTAGCTATGTTTTTGAATGTCTTCTGTGTCAAACTCTATATTTAAAAATTATATATTTTGTTTAAATAACCTTTATTTGGTTTTTTATACCTATTGTCGATTATCATGTTTTTTAAATCATCAATTTTGGGACAATCATATTTTATAATGGTAATATTTTAACAGTCATATTTTTTATATAGTCACTTTTCCTAGATTAAGAAATCGCATTTTCATAACTGTTTTGTTAACTTTAATTTCAAGAATTAATTTATGAGATGTACAAAAACTAAAATAATTTAAGTTTATATGTGGATAAAAACTATAAGTAATAACAAAAAGAATAATCCTATGTTTATCATCTATTTTGATTATTTATATTTCACTATTTGATGTGACATACTTTATTAATATAATAAATCTCACGTACATATAATTGGTATCTAAGAATTATGGGGTGTATCACATGATATGGTATAATAAATAATAATTATAGTATTTAAAAAAAATAAAAACAAAACAGTGGAAGAGAGATGAACACTGTTTCATATATTTTATTTTTTTAAATTCAGTGTTAAGCCTTCAAAGGCTGGCTACATGTGGCGAGAAAGTGCAGCCTGTTCTAAAATGGCACAAGCACTAACAAGCTTGATGCAGAAGGAAATTGATGGCTTTACTCCACAAATTAACAGAAAAAATGCTTTGGCGAGATTGATATTGATGCTCTTAGGCCACCTTCAACGGTTTATCATATCTTACATTAGATTTGAAATTTGGTGAAAAAGTCACTTTTTAGATCTTCAATGGTTTCAGCAAATTGGTATTAAAATGAGAATGAAACAAAAAATTCATTAAAGTGAGAACAGGTTCCAGATTTCACTATTTTACTGTGCTTTACCGTTGGGGAGACCAACCGGTCAATCAGTCGGATGTCCGGCCGGTTGACCAACCGGTCGACCGGTTCCCTTTCAAATAGGTAAGTTCAAACAGGTCAAAAGGTTCAAACAGATTTTAAAAAAAAATTAGCCTTACCGATTGACCGGCCGGTCGACCCACCGAATGACCCTTCCCTTTTGATGCACCGTTGGAACAATCCATATCAAATTGAGAAATCAAAAATTTTTTACTCAAATTTAGTGAAAAAAATAGTGAACAGTTGGAGATGCTCTTACACGACTTGCAGCTTTGTTGGTCAAAAAAATATGGGTATAAAAGTAAATTTATATGTTTATCTATTATTTTATGTTACATTTTTTTTAATTTTATAAAAAATTAAAAAAATAATCCAAACATATAAATTTAAATATTTTTTTTTTAACTATTTTTTTAAGAAAAAAGTCAAAAATGCCCACCTTATACTGGCCACTTGTTAAGATTATGAAATTTTGATTCGCTGGATAAGCCTCCATATCCATTCCAACCACACCTCCGCTCTCTTAAATTTTCCGAGAAAATTAGACTTCTCTTTCCTGCGGATTTTCTCATCCTCTCCACACTCTCCACCATGAGAATCCACTTCCGATCCTGAAAAATCTCCCTCGAAAATCTTCCAACCTATAACTTATCTGCTCTCCCTTTTGCTCTCTCATGGCGGCTGTTACTTCTCTATCTTTCTCCACATTGGGTCAATCCTCTGAGAGGAGAGTCTCTGTTCCGTCTTCTCGTCTTTTCGTCTCCAATTTCGACGCGTTTCGAATCCGCACGAGCTTTTCCTGCGATTCTGCTGGTGTTCGAGCTTCGAATTCGAATTCTTCAATGGTTATTCGGTGCATGTCTTCTGGAACTGGTAATGCTATGTAAATTGATTGAGTTCTATTCATATTTCAAATGCTTTGTTCTAATGCTGAGAAGATGCAAAATCAATTTTAAGTTCCAACTTTGTATTTTTCCCCTAATCACGATTCACGATTGCTTAAATTAAAATTCCACTGAACTGACACTGATGACTGATGGAATAGCTATTCGGCTTAGTTGTATTGCACTGAGTTCATCAGCTATGAGAATATATAGCATTGAACTGAATTCTTGGTTGTCTGTCTTGTTTTTCTTTATATTTTCTCAGTTACCAAACAGAAGGTTTTACTAATGATTTCTTTAGTTCTTCGGAGTATACTTCTGTTTGAATTACATCAATACTTTCTTAAAAGTAACTATGGGACTATGTGGTGTTTCATAAACACTTTTGTTATATGATAATACGGAAATGTCCTAGATTTGGATAGCTATAAAGTAGAGAATTTTACTTTCTGCAACAATTTAGTGTCTATTAATTTTCTGGTCTTTTGCATTGATTTTCATTAATTGAGATCAATTCACATCTATATGATAAATAGATACACATAGTTATAATTAGATTTGCATCAATCCAAACAGAATGCATGCACGATATACTTTCTAAGAACAATTTTGTACTATATGACCACATAATGATTCTTGGAAGAATTTAAGTTAAATTTTGTTTTCGTTGTGTTTTGAATTTTGATGTGTTTTATTTACTACGTTTCAGATGTGCCCACCGTTTCAGAAACAAAGTTGAATTTCTTGAATGCTTATAAACGACCAATTCCCAGTATCTACAACACTGTGCTGCAGGAGCTGATAGTCCAACAGCATCTGATGAGGTATAAGATGACGTATTGTTATGATGCTGTCTTTGCCCTTGGTTTTGTTACAGTGTATGATCAACTCATGGAAGGCTACCCAAGTGATGAAGATCGAGAGGCCATCTTCCAGGCATATATCAAGGCACTAAAGGAGGACCCTGATCAATATAGGTCTCTTTAATTTTTTCCCTCTTTAGTTTTCCTTTCATTTTTTCCCTCTACCAAACATGAGTAGGCAGTTATGCATGTTAAGTATTTTTTTCTCAAGGTAGAACAACTGTGAGTTTTTTTCCCCTAATGTTTCATGATGGGTAATTCTATTAATGCTCCACATTTTAGCTTGCTAACCTCCATTTTCCGGACATCATTGAATTCCTATGAGCTTACAAGTACAAGCCTGTTAATGGAGTGCCTATAGTACTTATATTCTGTTAGAAAATAAAAGCTTGTTGGGTACTAAAATTGTGGTAGAGCATTGAAGTTTTTGATTGCATGAGATCAATAGACCTAGCTCTGCCTACTGTTCCATTAAATATTTTGTCAATTTTTAATGTTTGGTGCGAGTAATAACCTTTATTTTTCCTTTAGTTCATTTATTGTAGAAAGAAGTGATTGGTAATCCATATTTTCTAATTCTGAATCTATTTAGCACTTGGTAATGAATAGAAACCTTAAATAATTTTATTTACTAGACTTAGTGATTGCATATTTGTGTTCACTACAGAAATGATGCAAAGAAGTTAGAGGAATGGGCCCGTGCACAGAATGCTAGTTCATTAGTTAATTTTTCATCGAGAGAAGGGGAAGTTGAAGGTATTCTAAAAGACATTGCAGAAAGAGCTGGGGGTAAGGGGAGTTTCAGCTACAGTCGTTTCTTTGCTATTGGTCTGTTTCGCCTTCTCGAGTTGGCAAATGCTACAGAGCCCACCATTTTAGAACAAGTAAACCCTCCTTTACCCTCTGCGGCACTATTGCAGTTTTTCAGTAGATGAAACAATGGACTACTGTTGATATATGTGAGATCTACTTGCTGAAAATTGTATTATGTTTCATTGTTTTTGTAGTTGTTAATCAAATGATAGAATGATCATTGCTGACCTATGAAACCTGAATATGACCTATATGAAACCTGAATACTTCGTTTAGGTCGTCTTATTTGTATTCAAAATGGTACACGTATGTATCGGACACGCGTCATACGTATCTGATAGTTATTTCTATGTATATATGTATTTGAGACGGATACACGATGGATATATAAGTATCTCAGGGTTAAAATTGTCTCACATTGAACCCTTAATTTTTGAATTTTGGTTTCATTTTGTAATAATGTTTTAATTTGTACTCTCTAATACTTTAAAATTAAAGGAAATCAAGATTGATTATAGTAATAAAATGAAACAAAAATTTAGAAATTGAGAGTGCAAGTAGAGGTGCAAATTTATTTATTTATTTTTTCCTTTAATTTTTAATAAACAGGTGAAATATGGGGCTGACTTTAAATTTGAGGGACAAAGTGAAGCTGTTTTAAAATTTAACAGATAAAATGTCATTAGCCCCTTTCCGAACTAGAATTTTTTCAAAACTATAATTATAATATATCATATATAATCTTATCAAACTAATAATATATTTTATTATAGAATTACCATGGCCGTATTTATATCCTAGTTTTAAATTTTTTGATGTATTGTTGTATTCGTATTGCATCCATATCTGTGCTTCCTAGTTGCTAGAGACGATGATACCATCCTTACTTGAAATTGATCAGTTAAATGGCTGCTATCGCATTCTTCTTGTTGCAAGGTGTCTTGTCTTTTTACTGTATACTCATACTACTGTGAGGGGCTTTTTACAGAGGCTTAAGGGTTGAGGCTGTTATACCCATATTGCCGAACCACGTATATCTTGTGTTCTTTTTGTTTGATTGTTTCTCTTTGCTTCCCTTTTGGATTCCACTAGGTGCAAAAGAAGAGTCACATGGGGTAAATCAAAAGTCCCTTTTTGAAAGTCTCATCTAGCTAGAAAAAATATCTAGAAGGAAATAAAAGGTCAGTCAATAAGTCTGCTACCCAAGAAAACGAAGCTTACCGAAAAAGCAATTTAAAAATGGAAATCCCAAGTCATTTAACCAACAGTTCGGACGTGCCTAGCTAATATGCGGTTTTACTAGAAGAAAAATGTCAGGATGTGTCAATACCTTTTCCTCCCATGTCAGTACCTTTTCCTCTTTTTCTTATAGGGGTCAGTACTTTTTCCTCCCTCTCTTTTTGTCGTGTCTGTGAAGTGTCACCTACGTGTCTTGGGGTGTGGCCGTGAAAAAAATTGAGAGATGGCCAAATATGTCTCAGACACGTGTCCGGGATGTGTCGTCGCTTCATAGGGTAATGATGAGCTGTGAAAGGCCATTGGAATAGGTATATTGATAGTCAAGATGTTTGATGGTGTTGTGAGGGACCTAACTAATGTCAGACATGTTCCAGAACATAGAAAGAATTTAATTTCTGTGGGTGTGTTGAATTATTTGGTAAAGTGTGAAGCAGTAAGATTAGCAAAGGTGTGGGGACAGAATGTGGGAAATCTGTATAGATTGGTTGGGAACATAGTTGTAGATGGAGCAGTAGTCTCCATGCTGGTAGATTCGTGCACGGATGACACACAACTTTGGCACATTTGGCTTGGTCATATTGGCAAGCGTGGTATGTTGGAGCTTCATAAGAAAAATCTGTTGAAGGGTATGAAAATGTGCAAACTGGAATTCTGCAAATATAGTGTGTATATATGGGAAGCAGCACACTGTCAGTTTCAAGACAGGCTCTCATATCAGTAAGGGTGTTCTTGACTATGTCTAAGATGTTTGGGGGCCAGTGACAGTTTCTTCTCACAAGTGGTGCACATTACTTCATTAGTTTCATTGATGATTATAGGCTATGTTACATGGACTCGGGTGCGAGTGTCGGGTGCGGGTGTGTATCCAAGCGTCAGACCTTCATAAATTTAAATCTTAGGATCTTGGGGTATGTATCCAAAATTGTATATGGATACGGGGACACGTCATATGTACATATATATTGCATATTATATAATATTCTCGGATGAGATGATTTAAATTATGTAGAAATATATTAGAAATTAAATATGATTTAGAAACAAATATGAAATTTCTATATCTAATTCATGTGGGAGCCTAAAAATATTGCTTTACTAACAAATGCAAGTTTCTTTTTCTTCATATATTGTCACAAATTAAAGGATCTGAGTGTCTAAATTGGGTACGAGCGTCGGACACATATCCCACACCCTTATCCATGTCATATCCGGTGGACACGGGTATTGTGGGGGAAATAGAAGAGTCCATGTAACACATTATAGGAAGGTATGAGTTTACCTTATGAAGTATAAGTTTGATGTTTTCAATATATTTGAGAAATGGAAAGCGCAAGTTGAACTTAGATGGACAGGAACATTAAATACTTTAGAACAAATAATGGCTAAGAGTATAGAGAAAAGGAATTTATGGGGTTTTGTGTATCAAAAAGCATTATTTGTCACTTCACAATGAGGAAAAGTCCACAGCAGAATGGAGTTGCAGAAAGAATGAACAGAATTTTGACAGAGGGCCAAATGTATAGGTTAAATAAAAGGGTTGGCCAAGATATTTTGGGCAGAGGCAGTTAACACAACAAGCTTCATCATAACAACCATTGTTTTCAAGATTCTGCAAGAGGTTTGGTCAGGTAAAACAGTTAATTTTTTCAAATTTGAGAATTTTTGTTTGCCTAGTTTATGTGCTTGTACAGAGTGGAGAATGCTTGAAACTGGGTCCAAAATCAAGAAAATGCATATTTCTTGGTTATGAAAATGGTGTTAAAGTTACGATTATAGGACCCAGTTTCAAAGAAGAAGGTGATCAGCGGAGACATCACAATTGATGAAGCATTCATGGAATTAGAATGAAGTTGAGACATGTAATGATGGTTTGAGGGAGAAATTAACAGTTGAAGTGGAGTTTGATGAGGTTGGTTCACCTGGTGATACAGGTGATGTTGATATTAGTATTGACCTACAGCAGTAGCAAGATCCTTACAGAGTTGCTAGAGGCAGGTAAAAACGACCTCACAAAGCTCTATAGGGGTATAGATTTATGGCTAGTTTTTCTTTAGTAACTGGTATTGGAGGTCCATTGTCTTTCAAGGATGCTACAAACAGGAAAGATAGTAAAATGGGTAGAGCAGCAATGTCCGAAGAGATGGAATCAGTATAGAAAATTAAGACTTGGGAATTGGTGAAATTGCCTAAAGGTAAGAATGTTGTAGGCTACAAATGGGTATACCACAAGAAAGAGGCATTGCTAGAAAAAGAGGTGAGAAGTACAAGGACAGTTAGTTGCTAAAGGTTATTCGAATAGAGAGGGAATTGACTATAGTGAGATCTTTTCACCAGTTGTGAAGCACACTTCAATTCAGGTAATCTTAGCAATGGTGAAAATGCATGACATGGAGTTAGAGAAGTTCGATGTAATTATAGCATTCCTCCATGGAGATTTGGAAGAGCAAATTTATATGCAACTGTCTGAAGGCTTCAAGGAACCTGGCAAAGAAGAGTATGCATGCTTGTTGAACAAATCCTTATATAGGTTGAAGAAGTCTCCCAACCAATGGTACAAACTTTGACTCATTCATGGGGTCACATGGGTACATATGCTGTGAGTATGACTCTTGCATTTATTTTGGAGTGCTTGTTGATGGTTCATGTCTTGCTTGCTCCTTATGTTGATGATATGTTAGTTACTGCAAAGAGTAAGCTGAAAATCGTTAAATTGAAGCCTTTGTTGTGTAGTGAGTTTGACAGGAAGGATCTTGGCTTTGGGCTGCCAAAAAGGTCCTTGGAATTGAGATTCACCGTGATAGGAGGGTTAAAAAGTTGTGGTTGTCTCTAAAAGGTTATTTGAAGAAGGTATTAGAGAGGCTTAGCACGTTGGATGCAAAACCAGTTAGTACACCACTTGCTGCTCACTTCAAATTGTCTTCAAAGTTGTGTCCTAGTTTAGATGAGGAAGTAGAGCACATGTCTAAGGTGCCATATGCAAATGCAGTTAGCTGTCTTTACATATTTGATGGTATGCACTAGATTTGATATATGTTTGCAGTCAGTTCTCATAAGTCAGTAGATATGTGAGTTGGTAAAAGGCGTTGGAGGTGGTAGAGTGGTTAAATATCTTGTGGGCACTCGTGACTTCAGTATCCTGTTTGACCAGAAAATTGTTACTAGAGATGTTATGGGTTATGTGGATACTGATTATGTAGGGGATCTTGACTCCAGGTTGTCCATGACAGGCTTTGTGTTTATGTATCTGGTGGCACAATTTGCTGGAAACTACTCTACTGGATATAGTTGTTTTATCCACCACAGAGGCAGAGCATATGGCAGTAACAAATGTAGCAAAAGAAGCAGTTTGGCTGAGAAAACGGATTAGTGAGCTTGGGTTCAAGCAAGACAATGTTTCGTTGTATTGTGATAGTTTGAGCACCGTTGATCTGGCCTAGAATCAGGTATTTCATTTGGCCAAGTATCAGGTATATCATGCAAGAACAAAGCACATTGATGTGTGATATGATATCACAAGATCATAGAATGAGTTTTTTTGGGGGAAGTATCTTTTTCAAAGATTCACACAGATGAAAATGCTTTTGAATCTTGATATGTTGACAAAGCCGGTTTCTAGGCATAAAGTTCGAGCATTGGTTGGACTTGATCCATGTTCTTTCTTGTTAAAGAAATGAAGGGTAGTGCACCCTTACCTATAAAGGGGCTGAAGAGACGTACCTATGGCTAGGTACTACATGGTGACATGTACAAATTTTCTTCAGGATGGTTTATGGAAATATAAGCCAAGGTGGAGATTGTTGTGAGGTGTCTTGTAGCTTTTCTGTACGTTTAG